TAATATACTTCAACATGTTTACTCCAAAAAAATAATATCACCTAATTAATTGAATATCTATGTAATATACATAAAATTGTATCAACTTTTTATCGTGGACCTCTTGATGTATTATCTCATTGAGTTTTTTTTCCAGTAAATATGTGCATATTTTCTATTTCTTTTAAATTTTTAATTAATAATAAACAAAAGATTAGCAAATAGAAATTTCTATAATAAATACAAAAGAAGAAAAAAGAAACACGTTAGTATTTTTTTCTTTCTTGTAATAATATAAAAATTAAAATTAAAAACAAAAATATTTAACATAAAAGAATAAACATTTCAGTTCATTGTCAATCCAGTCTTAACTAATATTATAAATTAATACTAATAATCAAGTATAAGTAAATAAAACGAATAAAAAAACAAATTTTAATTTATTAGATTGTGATGCTTAAAATTCACTTCTCAATAAGGTTTAAAACACATTGAATTTAAAGAATATAAAAAAAAATTAATTAAATTCATAGTATATTTTTAATACCTAAAAACTCAAGCACGAACACCATCTCATATTAATATGTACACAGAAAAAAATATTTAACAGATTTAGTTGACAGAGAAGCCTTACGGAAAAGGTAGTACACTGTACAAAGTTGTCCTCAAACAATATTACTTTATTATGAGATGAGAATATGCATAGATTGGGATACTTGGTAGATAAAATGGGTTAAGATTTTTTTTTTCTTTGAATGCTCAGATAATTTATTGTGAAGATTAAAGCGCTTTGAAACTCTTCCACTTTCTATTTCTGCAAGTTCATTTCCCATTACTTTTTCTAGCTTTATTTTTGTTTTGCTCCCTTTTTTTCTATGCTTTTTGGTTTTGTTTTATCATCATAAAATTGAAGAAAGGGGATGATTGGTCACCATTTGTGAGAAGAAAGTACCTGTTTTTGGACATAATGAAAACGGACAAAGCCAAGCGGAAACCAACTTTAGACTGCATAATATATATTGCAATTTTCGCATGTTTTTAAATGTTACATTCTAAAGTTTACTTTCTTTTTTTATTATAAAAAATTTGAATGTGAGTGCCATATGACAAAAGTAAGAAAATAAAACATTTTATAAAATAAAAAACCTCATTCTCTTAAAGTTTTAAATTGAAAGTAATATTATTTTTTTAGGTAGAGTTTGATGATATTTCTGTTTTATTTTTTCAAGAAATTTTCTTTTAAAATCTCATTAGTGATAAAGCGATTAAAATCCATGAATTAAGGTAGTCGATTATCGATTTGAGTTGAGTTTGATTAAAAAAGTTACACATTTCAATACAAATAAAAAATAAACTTAGTTTATTTAAAACCCAATTATTTAAAACCCAATTCATCTAAATTGAATAATTGGTGAGTCAAGTTGACTTGCTAATCCACTATACATTCTAAATATTAAATTATATTAAAAATGAAAACGGTAAAAGATTTAGTATCTCTAAATGTATTTGAGTTGTATTTTAATTTTGTGATTTTGAATTATATTTGAAGTTTACATTATTTTGGATTGTAATTGTCAGAATCCTTAAAACTCCAACTTAGTGGATTACATGTGCGAGTGCAAGGGTGACTGAAATTCAGAAAGTGGAAGACAGGTGTGTGATGCAGATTGGACGATCGGTTTTGACGGTAGGAGTAAAACTTAAACTTTCAAATTTCGTGCCACTTTTCTGCATGCATCCTTCATCTTCAACCTTCTGAATCTCCTCCTTCTCTCTACCATCTCCACCTTCTCTCTAAGGATTCTCATCCTTTTCTTCTTCCGATCACCACTCAGGGACCGTTTGAACTCTCCCGGCGTCAAGGGCTTTCGTTTAAACCGATCAAGTTATGGTTTCAAGTCGTTTCTTAAAGCGTGACTGTAGAACACTAAGGTCTCTGGTAGTAAGAAGCTATATCTTGTATCGTTGAGCGTTCGGCTACATTAGAGGTAAGGGAAGCTTGTATAATTTGATTAAGATTCTTGTTTTGAATGGTTGCATGTTGATTGATTGTTGAATGAATATGAAATATGGTTGTTACTGCATT